GACGGCTTATCGACTTCTTGAGAAGAATTCTAAGAAGAAAGTAAACCTACAGACATCGGTCTTGTTTAACAAAATTACAAGAATGAAATGAGCCTCTAGAATAATGTAAAACAGAAGAGTTGAGTAACGATCACAGCAACTCCTAACAAAGTATGTGTCAAAATACCTATAAAAACATGTTTCAGATTAATGCAAGGTTTACATAATCGTAGTAATACTGAAAAAAGATAGTAATTATATACATTATATTTACAGATAAATTCAGGTTTTTGGAGAAATATAGAGGTGAAATAATCTTAGAAGTGCTGAAAAAAGCTAAGAATATATATATATATATATGAAATTTACAGATGAAATCGTGGCTCCAGAAACCGAGTCGTAAGCTTGTTTCCAACTAAGACCATGGCTGATCTACAGATAAAACAAAAGTACCACATAGCTGTTCTACTTGTTGTCATCACTTCAACGTTCTCCGGTACGTAAAACAAATATTTATTTTAAACGTTTGTTAAACGATTATTAATTTGAGCTTTGGCAGTTTTTGATTGGCTAATATAATTTATTCATTTAGTGCCAAGCTTATACTACTTGATATTCTAGGTTTCGTAAGTTAATACTGTTTGTTCCTGGCTTGGCACTATTATTTCATTGAAGCACTTTGGACATCTACTAAAAAATAAACTTTGGTTGTCTTAATTGAGTTACTTTCTTCTACTGAATAACACTATAGTTGTCTTAAGTTAGTTTGGTATTTCTTCTACTGAATAACACTATAGTTGTCTTAAGTTAGTTTGGTATTTCTTCTACTGAATAACACTAGTTGTCTTAATTGAGTTACTTTCTTCTACTGAATAACACTATAGTTGTCTTAAGTTAGTTTGGTATTTCTACCTTATTTTGATTGGTAGATTTTTATTCATCGACAGTTTTTATCGGTAGTACTAAACTTATAGTGACCTACACTGTAGTCTGTATAATTAAGTACAATATCTGTATTAATTAGTACTTTAGCTTTTCTGGTCTAGTACCACATCGTCATCAACACTAGTATCAAGTTTATACTAACTGTAGGTTTAGTACCATACCTGTGCTGG